TGGCAAGACAGGGCAGGTTTATATCATCAGCAAATCAAAAACTCCTTTCTTTGGCCTATGAGAATCCCATAAGGGGGTATGTTCGCTCCCACAATGTGCAAGTCAAAGTTTGATCCCAGTAAAGTGTGTAGGAAAAGGGGGGATAGATGGGGAACGAAACGGGCTGGGCAGTGGGAAAAAGAAAATAACAAATCAGAGAGAAATTGAAATTCAAATGAAACATGACAATGCCCCTCGAGGGCCATAGCCTGGACTGGACAATCCTTCCCGGTTTCCTAACCCTAATTGTGTCCCGACCAAACCCATGGATGTGTGATGATGAGGTCCCTTCCGTCTTGATGCCGAACGATAACCCCGATGATGCTTATCCGTAAAGTTTGTGCGTAACAGCTTGATGCAGCCTGGCCTTCAGCCGTCCCATCCAGTGATGGACTTGACCCGAACCAGCGAGGATTTCTGATGTGACCAGAACGTGTCGCTGCCAGGTAGCTCTCCTATGCCCGCGGCGGTTCTCCCTTCTCCAGTGTCCGCCTTCTGGTGGAGCGTGCCTTTTATATCTCGTACATGCGTTGAGTGAAACAAACGAAAGACTTCTTCCTCTGAACTTCCATGCCGTATTTTTGTTTTGGTTGGCGGGTGCTGTGGGATCAACCGAAACCATTCGCGCTCTCTTCTGTGCTTTTGGGCGTTTTCTCTTTTGGGGTCAACTCATGCCATGCTCCCAAGACTCAATACAACGTTTCCTCCCTATCCATCAATCGCTAATCGCTGTGCCAGTAAATGTTCCATTCTTTCGCGAGAACCGTGAACCCGTTGCCCAAAATCGTCAGGACGCCTCGTGAAGGCATCGCCGAAAACGTCGAACCTAAGAACTCCATCCTTAAGTCGTTGGCGCTGGGTATTTGTTGTCCGAAGGGCATGAGACCAGATTCCCCCAAGTTCGTCTACCATAGTAAATGTCCGTTCCACGCGCCATGCTGAATGAAAATAAAGAAACCCAAACCAAAATGAATTGGTGAACGAAGGAAAGATAAGGCCGGAAGGTAGCCTCCACCGTACTGCAGCCTGATACTCGAAGTTGTCGAGGGTTGAACGCCCACTGATGATGTGTTTCTGAACTTCGTTGAGAACATGGACGAAGTAGTCAAACATAACTCCAGTGCTGGTGACTGCGGGAGGCCAATGCAGTCAGGCCCGTCAGGGAAGAGCGAGTCAGAACCATGTGATATCGGGAAAAGAGGAAAAAACTCAAGTGACTGATGCCTGGAAAATCAGATGCCGATGTAAATGCGTATGCGCCGAGATCTTCACACAGCGCCGTCCTCGATGATGTCCGAGTATCTTGTGGCTTTGCCTTGTTGCCGTGTATCCACACTTGAACACCGTAACGCCAGAACTCTCGCCATACTGCCTCTGGAAGTCAGGGAGGCAACCTAACATAACTGCATGCCTTACCTGCCAAGCATGTGAGGTGGCAGGTAGTTTGAGTTGTTTCCATTCATCATGGAACCAGGCCCACCAGCAGTCATGGTATTGCTGTTGTACCCGTTCCACACGTTGTTATTACCGCTTGCTGGGAAGCCAGCAACTGCGTAAGGTGGTGTGCCCGAGGAGCCGTTACTGAATCGCCCAGAGCCAAGACCAGGTGGGGCTGAAAGTCCTGGAGGAGGACCGTTGGTGGTCTTGAACCCATTCGTGGAACCTGTCATCATGCCGCTCATTGGAGACGTTGATTGACCTGGAGTCTGACCCGACCTGACTCCCAAGGGGTTCTTCGAGAAGCTGAGGCGAATTCCGCCCTTTACGCTATTGTGAAGCGGATGTCCGTAGAGCTCATGGAGAGCTTTGGTAGCAAAGGAAACATCCTCGAACTCCACAAAACACATGGGCCCGTTTTGCTTGGTTCGGAAGCAAAGCCTCTTGTAGCCCCGTTGCTTGGAGAACATGGCCTTGAGCTCTTCCTCAGACGTGTCGATAGGAAGGTTGCCCACGTAGAGAGTGTTGCAAGGTGGATTCTGGTCAGCAGGATTGACCGGGGGGAAGTTATGGCGGCCGTAAGGACCAGTTCCCATATGGAAGGGTACAGTATGTGGCCCCCCGCCCATCACAGTGGGTGACATGACTGGGTGAGCCGACATCGCTGCCATTCCTTGCTGACCGTACTGCGGAAGCGACGATGGGCTTGGTGTTGTGCTGGTGGTGTTGAGGGACAGGCTCGCCAAACGCGATATGGGCAACTGTGGGGCGGTGGCTCTTCTCTGAGCCGTAGCTCCGTTTTCCGCGTAGGCGACTGGGTCCTTCAAGAGCTCGCCGGTCTCGTCATCATCAGCCGCATCATTGTTAATCAACGATTTCCCAGCGATGCGTGTCCGTTCTGTGAGGTGATTTCCGATAGGAGACTGAGGTGAGAACAGGTTCTGGTAGTGCGCGCTGGACTCTGGGTTGGGCAATTCGCTGGAGCCGTATATACCATTCATAGGTGGCGATATCTTTTCGAGAGATTGGAATCCGCCGTTGAATCGTGATGGTTGTCGCGAGGATGGGGCTGAAGAGGCCGCGGAGGATGCAGTGCTCGACGATCCGGTCCCTGCGGGTTCGGCGTACCTTCTCGACGTGGTTGGGCTGCCTCCGAGAATCTCGACAATCATATTGGCGTCGTTAGAAATGTTGGATTTCCCGTTTAGCATATTCTTTGTTTCGATTGCCCCATTCGTAGTCCGGAACTTTAGGACGGCCGAGCGGAATCCCTTGTCTTCTGATTGATCTACGGGGAGCACTTCAACGTCAACAAGCTCTTTGGACCAAACCACCATGAGTCGAAGCGATTCTTCCGAAGTGTTCAGCGGAAGGCGACGAATCAGAACAGAGGCCGCCACAGAAGACGGGTTGGCGTATGGCGTTCCGACAGGCATAGCCGCATCGCGCTCAAAGGGGTTGACGGACGAGAGGAACGGTGCCTGGGTGTTGGAGGGCCTGAAAGGTTGCGATTGTTGTAGAAAAGCCGGCGCAGCCATGGCAGTGGTTTTTTGGGTGATAGATATTTGTCGTTGTTGATGTAGGAGGATTGTCGCGACTCGATGTCATCCCCGAAGGTTGAGTGCGGCTGATGAGACTGTAAATGCGCCTGGTTCACCTATGGTTGCTTGTCATCCGCCGGTGTTGCGGTGCATGCGCTGGCGCGTGGTGCCTTGAATTGCCTCGGAACTGCGGCAAAGAGAGGGAGGATTGCAACAGTCGCGCAGCTCAAGTGGGAACTCTTGGAAGCGCGTGCGAACAAGAATGCGGGAAAATGGGCCAAGACGCGGTGAAATTATCGGGTGTTGGTGTCGATTTTCGAGTGCGCGACGGGAGGATACAGGGCGACGAAAGAATGTTGCAGAGAGCGATATCGAAAAGTTGGGGGGGGGTTGGACAGGTTTTGGGAGAAGGGGGGGAGAAGTTGGAGCGTGCGGGAGGAGTTGTCGCAAGGTTATGTATCGTGCCTTAAAGTTCGGGGAGGAGGAGAGAAATTGAGCAGGGTAGAAAGGTACCGGGAGGGAGTGGTGGCACTGATGGCAGACAAATGGATGCAAAGGCAAGGTGTGATGGTGGGAAGTGTGTGGTGGGCGAAGTATGAAGTGGTTAAAGTGAGAGACGGCCAGGAAGAATGGTGTGCGCGCCTTGATGGGTTGAGTTGAGTTGGGTTGAGTACGGCGCGGTGCGGTGCGTCAGGACAGCGGGTATGGATGGAAGAGGGAAGGGACGGGCTCCTGGCTGGCCTGCTTCGCTCCAAGAGCATGGGGGGACTCAGGGAAGCAGTGTAAATGCAGGGCTGGTTGCGTTCGACAGTCGGGTAGCCGTAGCTCTCTGGGAAAATGGGACGAGGTGACTGAGACTTGGGTACCGGCAAGTGGTAGGCACGCAGCAGATGACAGGCCAGAGCAGGTCGACTTGCCGGGGCCCCTCGAAGCTTGATGGTGACAGGTACCCAATAGGACTACACCCACGGGATGGGTTGACTCGATGATTAAAGTCGGAAAACGACTAAGCCAAACTCGACAGCACGACTACCGTGACGGGGGATCCCTCTGGCGTTAGACTGCTTGGGTCCTGGTCGGCAGGACAGAAGAAGCTGGGGGCACAATTTTGTTTGTGAGCCTGCCTGCGCGAAGGTGAGAGAAGAGGGGTCGTAAAAGAAAAAGCGGGCGGAAGTGCGGAAAGATGTTGCAGGACGGCGTCAAGGTCGTCGGTTTATCGTGGGGTTTGGCGGCGCAAAGTATCGAGAAAAGGTGGCTTGTAGCCAAAGTCTGTTGGGCCTGTACCTAGGGGAACCCAGGGAATTCGCTTGATGATGGGAATCTGGCGATGTGGAGGGAGATGCGAAGTACTCCGTAGTGTTTGGGTACAGACGTGAAGTACCCGGCTAGTATCGAAAAGCCAGTGAAGCGGAAAGGCTGCAGCTGGGGCGCTGGGAGGGTGTGTGAAAGCAAACTGGGTCGGTCGCGGTGGCTGTTGGGCCTAGGGGCGTCGACGGTGGTTCCTCTCAAGGTGGTGGTTCTTGTTCGAACTCTTTTGGATTGTGGTCCAGTCCAGTCCACCACTCCAGTCGCGTTTGGACTTTCTGGACTTTACTCCTCAGAAAGTGGGAGTGGAAGGGATGGACAAGGGATGCTCGTGCTGTGGAGGTCTAATTGCGCCGCCGCTGGAGCACTCGGGAGGGACGTATCGTACCAATCAGAAGCCGATCGCGTAAGGTGGGAAAGCGTTTGGTGTGGGCTAAGGCAATGCTAAGGCACGACCTGGAAGTGTACTTTCTGTCTACTTTGCCTGGTGGGGAGGTGCAACCACCCTGACGAAGGTTCAGTGTAAGTGACTAGCCTGTCGCAGTCGTAGATGTTGTCGTCGTTGAGAGTGCGGTATTCGTACAGACAGGCAGCGATTGCGTTATGTCTGCCTCGCCCAGAGACACCTGTGAGTGGCAGTCGCCGACTCGACTGATTCTTTAAAGGAAACGTTTGATATCAAGAGTAGTTGGCGAATTGCGTCGACGGCTTCTGCGCCTGTGCTTTTGCTGTGGCGCTCGTTGGGTGTGTGCGCAGCGAGTGAAGCTTGTCTGGTGGGATGGAGGGCGCCAGTGTCTGCTTTCCAGAGGGACTGGGAGCCGTGGGAGCAAGCCGCAGATGAGAAGCGGGAATAGGAGAAATGCTGAGGAGGAGGAGGTACGTGTAGGCTGTCCTTTGGCAGCTAGGTTGGTGGTAAGTGTTGTGGAGGTTGCGTGCTCGTGGAGGTGTGTCTTTGATTGCCGTAGCAGCAGAGGCAGGTCGAGGTCGAGGTAATGGTATGGTAGGGTTGGGAAGCGATGGTGATGTAGGTCAAGGACTCTGGGTCGAGGTCGAGGAGACGCAGCTTCTGGACTCGGTGGATGTGGGAGACGGAATTAACCTGGAGGCTAGCGGGCGGGCGAACGAGCGAGAGAGACAAGAGAAGGGAGGCCCCTGCCGGTACGTCTTCCTGTTAGGCCGGTTTTCTTGGTGGCACAGCCTTTAGAGGGGATAACGGCGTCAGGAGAGTGTGCGGATTGGTCCAAGGTGGTAGTAGCGGTGCGACCGGGCTCAGGGGTCTTGTAGACTTTCGGCGATCGTTGGCACCGTTTGAGGGCTGGTGCTTGCCAGGAGGCGCGTGTGGTGGATGGTAGTGTCTCTCTTTTCAGATATCGGCATGGGCTGCCGTCTGTCTCTTGTCTTGCCAGTCTGTCCGTCTGTGTCTTTGGGGGGCAGAACGGTACGGAGTAGAAGGGCTGCGCGTGTGTGCTATCGTCTGTGCGTGTGTGCGTGTAAAGTGCGCGTAAACTGGAAGTGCGTGTGTAACAACCGTGCGGGCCGAAGGTGTCTGGTTCTTTGTCTTTGTGCGAGGTGTGTATCTGTAACTGTGCGAGCCGGGAGTACGAGCGCGACATATGTCGACGTCTGCCAGAGGTAACGTCGAGGGACAGGAGGAGTAGTGATGGTGTAAATCGGGCGAAGAGAAAGGAAAGGAAGAGACTCGAGATACTACTGTGGATTTGCTGGTGATTTCAACAGTATCTGAATCTACCCGTACCCGGATTTTTTTTTCCCGGTAAAGCGGTTCGGTCAAGTGGTTCGGTTGAGCGAGGAGAGAGACAAAAGTAAGGTGAAGAAACGACTGGGACGGGAATGTCCAAGGCAATGTAGGGGAGGTATGAGGGTTTAGGCACGGTGAGCAATAATGCGGAAGACGTGAGGTACCTTCCTTACGTTAGGAAACGGAATTGGGAATGAATCGGCCACTGTTGGACGGTCGCACTGTCGCACTGTCGCACTTTCCTTCAATGTTTCTTTCCCTCGACTCCTTCCTGCCTCCGCACTCACGAATACCTTCCTTCCTGCCTCTGAACACCGTCACTACCTAGGTAAGGTAGCTACGGATACCGTGTGCTCCTGCCCTGGGAGCATTCGTACCTGCCAGCACCACATAACCGCATGGTACCTTCCTTCCCTCGCCAATCTGAGTTGAACGTGGGAGGCAGCAACGACAGGGTGGGGTCGGCCTTTTCGAAACAGGAAAAGAAGGAACAACGCAGATTGCAGATTCACCTTTCCCTCCCTCCCTGCTCAACGTGCAGAACACTGGGAGGTTGAAGACCTACCTGCCCTGGTGACGGGAAGCACCTGTCACCAGGGAGCAAAATGCCCGTACCTTGGCCGATACCTGAATGGGAAGGGGGATGGGAATGGGAATAGAAAGGAAAGAACGAGCCGGCCAACATTGCACTGTACGAGAGTCATATCTGCAACACTGTTCACATGGAAGTGTCTCTCTTGCACGTTGCAACTCCATCTGCCTCCCTTCACGTCTCTATCCGTACTGCGATTACATACCTAGGTGGAATTCAAGCTTTGCGTGATGTGCCTTACTTTACGGATACCTCGACTACCTACCTACGTACTTCGTCTGTTTCTTGTGAATCTTTTGTTTTGTCATTTTTTTTTTCTTTTCTTTTGGTATTATGCTTTTTGCTGTTTGCGTCAAGCAATAGTCAGAGAAGGAAGGGTTGTGGATGCACGTGTGGAAGATAAGATAAAATTCGATCAACGGCATCCCCCCCCCCTCCCTTATAACACCACGTTCTAATTGCACGACTGATACTTTGAAGGTACTCGATGCTCGATTCTCGATGCAGATGCCGGCGCACGCATCACCAGAATTGTCCCTGAAGAACCAAATCAAATGATGAAGAAACCTCTCGAGTCCGCCGCACCAGGCCAGCATGGCCAGCTGCATCGTAAGCTGCCGCCGCTGAAACCTAGGAGGATCGAGAACGGGGTCATTGCATGGGGCTAGACAAGTGTGTGCCTCGCCCTTGATGCGCCTTTGCAACCGCTCGGGAGGACGGACTCAAATGTCGGGTGAAATACCTACGCAGTATTTTCTGCTGCGCGCACTCTGCCCCTCGCGCCTCGCGCCTCTTGCCTCTGACATGGACTTGTACGGCACCACGGATACCGCTACATCATACATCTGCCTCTGTTGTGCCTCTTTGCACGTCGAGGGTTGAACAGAGTCCTAGACAGCCACCATGACTCCAACAAATCTGTCGGCCCTGATCTACCACGCGAGACCACAGACCAGATGAGGCCATGTGCCCATCACGCCGGTCAGTTGGCGGAAACCAAACCAAGCTGCATAGAACATTAGCCTACTAACCCACTCACCTTGCCTTACCAGTCCGAACCCGGTACTCATACGTATTGATACCCACCATTGTCGACAACAGTTCCGTCCTAAAGCACCTACCGATACTTCGTGTGCTTATCCACCAGCCCAGCAGCATGGGGCAAGGAACACCGCATCCGCATCCGCGAAGCAAGGGACCCGACCAGACCCTCAAGCCCGTGCGGAACTGTGATAGCGTGGACCAGGACCTGGACATGGGCAGCTGTCCACACGGGGTATTCACTTCGTTTCTGTATCTGTAGGGCTCTCTACTCCCCCCTCCAAGTGTCAACCTGCGCATAAGGTCAACAGCTTTTTGCGACGCAGACAAAAGATGGTGTCGACGCCAGCCCTGTCACCTACACTTCTTTTCGATGAAACCCCTTGGTACTGTCAACTGCATCGCTGCATCATGGGCCGTCATTGTGCGTTCGCCGTGAGGCACTCAAAATACCCTCCACATTGGTACATTTGTGGGGGGAGCTGCCAGCTAGGTACCCGTAGGCCATGTCTGGCCAAGGTTGGAGGGTACGTGCACTTTCTCGCTCATGGTCCTCGGCGCCCGACTGCCAAGATCCTTGGAACCGCCGGTGATATTCGAATTGCCCTCACATCTGGTCATTCTTTCTGCCCCGACCCGTCAACGTTGTATAATTTGAGTTCTGGGGATTCGAGTCTGTGCCGCGCCTTAGACTCCAGACATCGTCAGCCCTCCTGCCGGTACTCAAAACATCCCTCACCCGTTCCCGCCTCACACATCCTGCATGCGCCGAGGCGCAAGCCTGCTGGTGCCGTCAAATGCAGATAATCAAACTTCTGTGGTGAGACCCCCCGAAACGCCTTATTAGCAGACCACACATATATCTGCAGGCAAGCTATATGGACGCACCCTTTGGTTACAGGTCCGATATGCAGTCAAAACTTTTGCGCCTCAACATATCGCTACGGTCAGAGTATACGTGAATGCAGTCCAGCCAGGAGTTTGAACGTGTGAATGTCAACTGCCAATCGCGATGCTGGCCGTCATGCCGTCGAGACTGCCAGGTTGTCTTTTAAGCGTCCGCCAGGAGATGGATTCGAAGCCAATCCAAGTTGAAGGAGGCTATGGAAAGCATTTCTCTATCCATCAAACTTCAAGATGGAGAAATTGGTCTGAAACGCAAAGCAACGTGAAAGAGTTTATCTACAAGGTAATTGACAAGCTATAGGTAGTGTGGTTTCGATAAGGTATGACAGCGATGTAGAACCCCCCTGACCATGATTTCCTTCAAGCGCTGCGTTGAGCACCCTCTATTTTTCTCAGCCTGCAGATGGGGCCTGGGAATTGTGGCGTCATTCCCTCTTCCTTGGACATCTCTTTCGCTTTAGATTGCTGCGTTGAGTTTTGACAGAATGTCCCGGTACTGCTGGCTGACCGGTTCAAGTAGTCACCCACACCGACCATGGCCGGTCTCCCACGATGACGCTAAAGTGAGACTACGGCTGCCCATTGGATTGCCGAGCAAGCTCCGATTTTCCGGCTGTCAACACGATGCCACTCTTTTCTAAAACTCTCCGGCCCGGTGGTTGCCTCTGGATAGGCCGGGCGGATGAATGCAGTGGATCGGTCTTCGCCCCGAAGCAACTCGTCCAGTCTCGACTCCACCAACTATTCAAACATTGCTCCTCCCTGTGGCAGTGCGCCTATCATAGGGCACCTCGGAATCCTTGTTGTCCTGCGTCTCTGCTTGCCGCTGATACACTCAAAGTCCAAAGATATTCAAAGAGAGCCCATCGTGTCGCAAGCACATGCTCTCAACTAGCCGATTACCTGCAGGCTGGTACAGGCGCATCGTGCATCTGAAGATAGAGAGACTTAATTCGGGTGCAAGTCGCAAGGTGCACGCACGTAAAGTCGGATTCCGCTCACTACTCTGGATCAAGTTGGTGGACTCCCACGTTCCCATTCTTGTTATACGATATTTTCAACCGGTTAATCCCCTCTGGCCTGGCAAACCTGACACGCCTGGGTAGTCAAATACAGTTTGTACGACAGGACCTTTCTTACCCAATGCAGACCTAGCCTCTCGCTTGCCAGCTCGTTTATGAACGAAGCTATTCTCTGGACCGCGCTTATCCGTAGGGTCAGCACGGGGGAACAGGAATTGGGCGAGCTGTAGTACGAAGAATGCATCGCGACAACCTACCCTAATGAGATCCTTGCGTGAAGAGAAATTCTCCGACCAACACTGGAGGCCGATCCAATGACTTTCATCATTGTTTGTCGTTCCACTCTCATAAGGATGGCTAGACTGAGAGCGGTGGCTGCTACCATCATCTCGAGATATCGACTTTCTACAACACTCTTTAGCCTCCTCTGGCAGCTGCCTGCTCGCAGATTGGCGAGTATGACCAGCTCGTCAGTGTAAGTCTGCCTGGTGTACTACCAACATACTCGATCGACTTCACCACACATTCTCACCACCATCAGAAGCGAGCAACCCATTAGCATGCGGCGCAACTTGAATTCTTCCACAGACATAAGTCATCAAACTCACGGATACAAGTCGTTACAACTGCAATGAGAGGTAGACGATGTGCTAGAGGTACTCCCTAGCTTGATTGTTAGACCTTCCTCTCAGAAGCATCCAAAGCCACAGCTTCCTAATAACAACATGTTTCTCTGGGCTTCCTCCGGAAGCTTGCAGCACAGGCATCTACCGGTAATGTACAAGGACCTGATCACAATGCAGAGCCTTACTTTCTCGCCATCTTCCTTAGTAATATTCCGTGGTGTGTCTATAATACTTTACACAGTCACGCGTTTAGTGTTTGAGTCGTTTCCGTACCGCAGCCTAGTCGACGTCTGCGACCCAATGCTCTCTGACGCTGGCTTCTGGTTTGTCCCGTCATCCGCTCGCCATCCCATCAACAGCTTGAAAGACCAGCCCACCCCCCGATAAAGGGGACAACGAAGCTGCGTGGAATGTCAATTGTTACCCAAAACAAAGCCGAGAGCCACCTCGCTTTCGCCCTTTCACGAGCTCAGAAAACAACCTAAGTCCAGGAATACTGGAATGATCATCAAGCTGGAGACACGAGGCTGAAGAGAGAACTCGGCACTGTGTGTGTTGGAAACGATCGCCATACCAAACGCTCAAGAAGTGAACTCATCCTCGGAAATAGATTCATGTCATCTTTACCGAGCCTCCTCCTCCGCCCTCCAGCATGTGCCGCTGTACATACCGACTCCTGGAGGGCCTCAAAATGCAGACCAGCAGTTCCGACATTGTAACGAAACAACAAAGGGCACCCATGCTTTCTTTGGTTAGTGAGGCACTCATCACTTTGAGTAGTGGCTGGCCGAAGTCACGTAGCGAGCACGAGCTCGCAAGAGAATCATTCTCCTCTCCGGCTTGGTGCGATTGCAGATACGGACGCAAGCGACGATCAAAAGCATATCAGGGGCGGACTTGCTCTCCTGAATCACGGCATCCTCGAGACTGTCGACTTACCTCTTATCTTCGAAGTGGCCTGGAGGGGACTCACTCTGGAAGAATTCCCCTCCTTGAGGCTCATCTTGAACACCAATTCATCAGGCTGTGGTAACACAAGTGAACAGACTTCACTATTGACCAAGCGTAGGGAACGTTCGAGGAACTCCAGCCTTGCATAAGTTCGCCTTTTTTGCTTTCCCTCTCAACTTAGAGTTCAAGCGCCGCGAGTTTTGAACTGTCTCCCTGGCTGTTGCATTCGTCGCTTCGACAGAGGGTATTTGGCATTCTTAATTATAGTGAAATCGACGTTCTGCTGGACACGTTCGACCGAAGCGTGAGACGCCCTGGCCTTTTACAGGTAACTTTCGATATCGAATCTCCGCAAAAGCACCAAGTCCGAACGAATACTCAGGACAAGCCACTGCCCCATATACAGTAGCAGCCATTCTGGTATCTTGACGTTTCCTGAACGACCGTGTGTGTTCTTTGTTCGTCAGCCAACCGTTAGAAAGTTAGATCACGCACGGGAGAGACGACTTCCTGGAAGTAGAGTCTCATTGGCCGGCAACCCTGGAAAGTACCACTTGTCGTGCATGGGACTACTGTACGGATGCCATGGCCAGTCACTTCCGGATGCAGAATCCTGAAACTAGCAAGGAAGATGCACTGTTGGGACGAATTCAAGCGCTCAGCGTTTGGAGAGATTGGCCCAAACTTTGCTTCTCGCATGACACTGGGCAGAAGGCCCTGCCACTGGCTACAATCTTATGTCTTCAGAGTAACCCTCTTCCGGGTTGTATTAGCGGCATAGGGGCTATCGAGGAGAGCTTGGGAAGGATGGGAAACGTCCGTAAGCAAGCCCCAGCTTGACTCGGTAATTCGTAGACTCATGAACAGACACCAGGCTCTCACGGCTGCTTGAGGGTGGGTAGGCCTGCCAATCATGATGACTCTTCAGGTACCGAGCCTAACAGCGATGAGCTGTCGGTATGTGTCCAGCTCCGGCTAAACCAGCTACTATGACCTACACAACGTCGGGCCTGGGCCTTTGAGGCTCGGTCTGACATCTGTCACTTGTGAATGATCCGCAACGGCGCATCTCTATCCGCGTAGGTGTGCTCACAAAGTGATGCCGAAGGCTGGCTACTGCCTCTACATCGCTGAGATAGACTCATTAATCTTGTGTCTCCTGAGATCTAGCTGAAGCAGCCTCGGTTCTCTCAAAGGACGTAGTCGACCATCCCGTTGTCAAATCTGTACTGACTGAGGTGACAGTGAATGTCTGTGGCCGTCGTATCAGGTCGAGCTCACTTTGCTGGGGAGATATCAAGATGCGATAGATTACGAATATCAGCTCTGGTTGTCACAACAGCGACTCTTTCTCCGGCCTTCAACTCCAGATGCTGATGGTGCGAGATACCTACCTACTGCAAACAATGACGAACTATGAGCACGCTCATGAGGGGGTCCGATCAAGAAGAAGCGCTAGGATTGAATGATAGCGGGGTCGACTGGACTGAAAGCGGCCCAAGACGAAGAAATGGAGAGTCAGAACCACCCAACGGGGAGGGTGTCCGCCAGGAAGACTTCCGATACGATGGAGTCGCCTGTCCCACCGTTCACAAGAGGGAGGGGTCTGCGGGGTTCTTGGGAAAGCTTGGCGCTGTCGATTCTCACGAACTTGCCCAGATGACTACCGACGTTGGAAGGCTTACGGAAACCCGACTGTATCCTGCACGGGAGTTGTCCTCCCCTTTTCTCGGTTCCATAGCCCTCCCATGCCACTGATCTCGGCCGGGCTTTCATTGAAACATCAGATTCGAGGCGAGACCCACTCAAATCGCGAGAGATAGACGAGCGGACAAGCCAACAGGAGGAAGTGGCTGGCTGAAGTTTGGCAGTTGCGTTTAGAAGCCAATGCTATTTCCTGCATTGCCATGTGGGTCAGAAGAGCTAACTCTCAAGCATCTTGGAAAGAGTCTGGAGCATTTGGGAACTGAAGCGAACAACCCACCATCATCTCTCGACTTTGGACAAGACAGGCGTTCGGGTGGCCGATGCGCCGAGCCGCCGCCAGGCCCGGGCTGTGCGATATCTGTTTGTGCAGAGCAGAGAGCCCATACCTAATATCATTACAGATCCTGCACCGATCACAGGCCAAACCCACATGAACAGTTCAGGTTCCGGATGGTGGCATGCGCAAGACAACCGGAGCGCGTCTGTTCCGTGATTCTGGGCTCTCGCGCTCGCGAAAGCCCAAGGGGCTGGTTCGAACCACGATCCACTGCCGGGCGTGGATATCATTACCGAATGCCCAGGAAGCGGAAGCCATGGTACGGATACCGGTACCTAGAGGCGTGGCCAACTCTGTCTGCTCAAAGTCAAGGTCATCTGACCTCTGAATCTCTGTCCCCTTTCCAGTCAACCACTCGGGGGGCTTCCGCGGTCTTGGGCAGACAGGGTTGCCTGGCCGTCAGCAAGTCTTGCTTTTTTGGCTCGGGCAGGCTGGGTATCTCGAGGAATGTCAAAGCAAGGGTCCTTCTCCAGCGACAGGAATCCGTGCCTGCGAGAGGCAAGATATGCCTCTTCCCAAGGTTGTTTTCCCAAGTTCCTTCTTTCTGTCATCAACAAGCGTGCGAGCTGCAGCATACCAAACAGCACTCATCCGAAAACCGCCGCAACCATAACACCCTCCTCGGTCTCCTTCCCATCGAGTCTAAATTTGGGCCACACACTTTTGAGAGAGACTTCACGGGCAGCAGCAACTATATGCAGGCCCCGAGACAACCGAAACATTTGGCGAGGAGGGGGGAGGGGCAGGTTCGGTGTCAAGGGGGGGGGGGGGGGGTGCGCGATCAGCCTGGCACGGAGCCCACAGAGCCCCATGCCACACTCCGTCTGGGGTTTTATCTCCAGGGTCAACTTTTTTAACCTCGTCCTGCTTGTCGACGTGCACCTGCGGCTTCAATCTTTAAGCATGTGGCTGACTACGAAGACGGGCTAACTACGGGAGTACGAAGTATGGACATACAGATTCTCCGTACAGAGAGTAAGGATCCTCAGCCCGATTACAGGCTTCGAACACGGGTTCGACGCCCGCTGGGCCCCCGCCGACGCGTACCTATCTGCCCGTCTAGGTCAAGCGGCTCCGGCGAGAGTTGCATGCTATTTTGCCTTCCCTGACTCGAAAGTTGATCTTTATCAAAAGAGTTTCTTCAAACGTCTCCTCCCACGGGATGGCGGGACCCTCTCTCTACCACAGTAAGTTGAAGGCTCCGGCGCCCCGCTCCGTGTTTTTCTTTTCTCTGCCCGACCGAATGGTCTGGGACATTCGTGCCGGCCACCGGGGCGGAGACGACCTCTTGATGAAAAGATCCGCCGTCGTCATCTTTTGCAACGACCAACTGTGCTCCCCCTCTCCTCCCCGCCCCTTTATTTTTTTTGCCCACCTTTTCTCGCGCACACAAACTGATGCAGGGACGGGAATCCTGCCAGCCGAGAGAGGCGACATACATGGCTCGGGTCTCGTAATTCTCAGCCGCAGCGCGCTACGGTATACGGTGCTTACCTGACACTTACAGAGTATCCGTACCTAGTGACGCTGTCAGATTCTTACCCAACGGATGGGCACTTTGGCCGCGTCAGTCCACTCGCTACAGTCCACTTCTTCCTGTGTCGTTTCCGCCCTCGCATCGCGTGGCTTGTTAGGGATAATTTGATACCTAATCTGAACACCTGGCTGAATTCTGATTTTAAAGAAGTTGTAGTAGTCATGAATCTCTTCTCCCTACTAAATGCATGAAAAGATAAGTTCATACGTAAAAGGCATTTACTCTTTTTTGATGTGATCCTTTTCAACTCACCACCACCAAGTCACCTGGGACGTTTACTCATCAACTACTGCAACCTCCCGCATCTCAACAAAAAAAATTAAATAAAAAAATCAAACGTCTCACAACAGCGTGTCACTTGGCTTCCTCCCGCCCTTCACTCACCGCTCAACCGCTCTCACACGCGCCTGTTACGCCCTGCGGCCTGCGCCTGCGCGTCCCGTCCCCCTCCTCCATCCATCCATCATGACAGTCGCACAGGGTTACCACAACCTCATCCCCGTGACGAACCTCTCGCCACCCGTCGACACGACGCAGCCCTACGATCCCTCCACCCTCGCCGGCAAAACCGTCCTCATCACCGGCGGCGCCCTCGGCCTCGGCGCGGCGTTTGCGAGGGAGTGGGCCTCGCACGGAGCGAATGTTATCGTCGGGGACATTAACCCGTCCGCGGGCGAGGCCTTAGTGGCCGAACTCCGCGCCGAGTATCCAAAGCGGGGAGGAGGAGCAGGACAAGAAGGGGGAAAAGGAGGATCACACCACTTTGTCACCTGCGACGTCACGTCCTGGGAATCACAGGTCTCTTTCTTCAAGGAAGGCGCACGCCTCTCGCCGAACGGCGCCATCGACGTCGTG